TATATATATATGTGTGTGTGTGTGTATATATAATATCTAAAAAATATGTGTTTTTGTTCCAAGTGAACTGTACTGTGAAATACATTCAAACAATCTATATGAATTCTTATCACTTGTATCCTGTGTATTTTATTTTATTCTGCTTTGTCATGAATGAGACTGCTTCTCTTGATTTTCTTTGTATTTAGTCGCATTCAGTTTTGCGAATGTTCGTTGAGTATTGTGAATATTCAATTCCTACATTTGTACGAGTTCGCATGGGTTCCGTATACGTACACCTTTTATGTCGCACGTAAGATTTCCCCTATATGTATTGGATATAATCATCGATAAAAAACTTCAATCTGAAATTTCACTTTCCAAGTACCGAATTCAGTTTTATTGTGTACTTCCGTGGGGTGAAGACCTAACAGAAAACATGTTTTATCCACTTATCAATCCAGCTTTCGAAGGGAGACCAATTAGAGGTGGCCATCAGTTGCTGCTCAATCACACACGCCGTCATCTCGTTGAACACGATCCCCGTATGGCTATACAATGAAGAGTTGGCTGTAGAACCTATGTACGGTATGTTCCCGTTTGTGGCGTTCTAATTAATGAAGGTCCCCTGAGTCTACCTCCCTGTGCAGTCGTTTGTCACTGTGTACCAGCACCACTGTAACCGTTCACTCTACCTGGGTGGCAGTTTGGTGGAGTGGACGGAGGTATTTTATTTATATATATATATTATATATATATACATATACATATATATATGTGTGAGTGTGTGTGTGGGTTTTTGGCGTTATGCGCACTCAGATTGACTCCAGAGCCGAGTAGATATTCCGATGTTTGCATTTGGATCCACGGCTTTGTATTTGGTGATTACCTGTGACATTGACTGTATGTGCACCTATTTTGTTGTACACTTTGGTGATGGATATTTTCTGCCAATCGGTTCATTTAAGCTCGCGAGCGATAGACTACACATACGCGAATGTCAATATACATAAATATGAATGGATATATTATTTATAAATGTGTGTGGTAAAACATATAAATAATATATATGTATACTACTTATATTGATATATACTTCAGTCCATCCGAGCCTCGCCACAGACAGTATGTTCGTTTAGTACAAATAATTTGTCATCTTTGTGGTAAGTTTCTATATGTTAGCACTTGTGGTATGTGTCCATCAAGGTTTCCATGCAAATATACTGGCTACCCAGTCGTTTACTCGTTGTACATCTTTAAAGGCCGCGTGCCCGTTTACCTTAACCGCTTTCTTACCTGTATATCTCAACTACATACACGCAGAACCATAATTATTTATATCTTTTCAAGCAGGCCGCAACACGACGACGGGGTTTTAATATCTACGCTTGACCATGTCATGTAGGATAGCCTGGTACCTGAATATCATGGCTTGCTAATAACCACATGCATACACACCGTTGATTACCTTCCGTGCCTTGCTACAGGCCGTATGCCGGAATACTACGACCGGTTCCTGATCTTCACGGTAGGCTACTTCATGTGGGATAGTCTGGTGTCTATATACCATGGCCTAGGCGTACCCTTCTGTGCGCATGCAGTTGCGAGTCTAGGGGTGTTTTGGCTGGGCATGCACCCGTTTCTGCAGCACTACCTGGGTTTCTTCCTGGGCATGTTCGAGCTGTCGACACCTTTCTACCACACGCGTAATATACTGGTATGTCCATTCTGATGTACTACTACGCTTTTATTCTTTCGCGGTCTTCTCCTTAGTGTAGAATCTGACATACACACGCATGATTTCTCCTTTACTTGGTGTGTCCTGTCGAAGAAAACGAATTTCTTCAGCTGATATTTGCAGAGTAGTATCCACTTTGTGTTCTGACTTACCCTGCTTTATAGATATATGTGACATGCATCAATTGAAACAATGTATGAACACGTATACGGATGCTTGTTTTAAATGTATAAAATGTATCTGAATCTTTCGCATGTATGTGTACTCTGTTTGAATTGGAAGCGTAAACTCATTCAATCATCAGATATGTACTGTAATAGTTTTTATTGGAAGCGTAAACTCGTTAAATCGTCAAAGATGTACCACGAATGCGCATGTTATGCTGAACAATTTTGAAGACAGATATGTGGGATAGGTTTGCTTGCACGTGTGTATGCTGATAGACACACCTATCTGGTATATTTCGCAATTCGTTGACGAATCTCCAAATCTGGGACGTTGGCTGCCTTATCATGCCTACTTCTGGTGAATACCAACAGTTATATCTCCCATGTTAATAGACAACTCTCGTATCTTCTCTTATCTCTTCACCACAGGGTCTTCTAGGCAATGAGAAGCACATCGTTTATATGATCGCAACGGTGTGCTTCTCCATCACCTTTATTGTTGTGCGGATCGGCCTGGGGTTCTACGTATCCTTCACCTGGTGGAGGCTTATGTACAACCTCCTACAGAGTGGCGAGGCCCACTCAGTCGCGGTGGTACTATACTACATGCTATGTAATATCGTTATCATGACCCTGCAGACAATTTGGCTCAAAGAGATTGTTATGGGTGCGGTTGATCTGTTCTCTGCCAGCAAGGAAGTCGCGTTCAAAGAGAAGCATCAGGCGTTCAAGTTGGACTGAGAAACCATGCATATCTCTCTGGTATGGGGTTTACCCTTGCTTCTATCCTTGGGGTCGAACAAGCTCTTCCTCGTCGATGGCAAGAGATCGGAACCAGCTGGTGATTTGGTCAGTCAATAGGGTTTGTGCATTTGCAATTCCGAGCAGATAGCAGACAGGGACTCGTGTATACATGTGCCGTGGAAACAGCGACCCGAATACTAAAAAGGAGACTATGGCGTGCGAGAGGGAAATTGTGGGGCTGGTCGCATAGAAACGATATCCAGTATGTGCTGTGGTACTCAGGGATTTCCCTTCTATCTGTTGGACAATCTTTTGGGCGAGCTGGATGGAGTTAGCTCTGACGTTTGAGACACTAGTATAGAAACGTTGTACGATCATCCTTTATCGAAAGAGCACTTGGCTGGCCGGGGAGTTGCCTGTAGGGAAGTGTAGTCCGTTGACTTTGTATAGTGGAAAAGGAATGGGCGTCGATAGTGTTTTGATGTGGACTGTTCGTGTCCTGGCGGCACCTTTTAACGGCTAGTTCATCCGGTTCGTGATTAACCTGGCTCATTCCCTCCTATCATGGTTGACTTATACGAGGTTGCAGCTTCAAATTATTACTTTAAAAGTAGTGAAGCGGAACATGAACATGAGCGCACACGTTTCAACACTGCTATGTGACTTATTATAAATTGGATTGTCGTCGCGTTGGTTCTTGGTTTAGATAGTATTTACACTCACGTGATACTAGGTCGCGTTAACTACTCGCTTGGTGCTAAGGATGGCAAATCGATGTCAACAAATTTTCCGCTTCAACATACAGGTTCCTTGGAAACGATACTACCGGTAAAAAATATCGTAAGTGTAACCATTTGGACCGATAGCTCCAATGACTGAAACTTAAAGCTTGATCAATAAAGCCATTCCGTGCGATATGTGTTTCCTGATTACCATGCCTCGCTTGCGTTAGTTGTTATTTATTTTCTGAGTTGGCAACTTGTAATATTCAAAAATCAGAAAGCTAGCAAAGGTCTTCACAAGTTCATGGGGAACTCATTGGCAATGATTACTCCCTAACCGTCCTACGCACATTGGGTCCTAACCTCGGGAGCGGGAGCTATTTATCTCGATTTAGCGGCTACGAAATATCCATCTCGAAGTTGTGTTCGTAAGACGACTTCTATATATTTTTTAAATATGATATTACGCAAGACATGTGGTAGAATACAGTATAGTTCGGCTGAGAACTTTGTTGAGTATTGATATTGACAATACAGCTTGTGTATGAAAACGGTTTCCAACTTCACGTAAAAGTTTAGTAACCAACAAGCGCCACCCTCCGTTTGCATGAAGTTTAAGATTTATGTCTTTGAACACACACCGCAAAACCGACTTGTAGTCGCACAGGAGAAAAAGGCAAGTTTAATTTAAATATTCAATATATGGCTAAATGAGGGATTTGGGGAAGGGTTTAATATCATTGTCATATGCTGGTAGCCTTCACATAGCCAAGAGCTTTTGATATAGACAGGGAAGATTTTGTTAAGAAATATCAATTCTTCATATCAGAATATATTGAGCTTCTCGTGTGTGGCTAATACTTCAATACAATAACAAGATGTGTCGGGATGGTTCTGAAAAGGCTGACGAGTCGTAGATTCCCCCCCACACATCCTCCTCCATTCCCCCACCTTCCTGGTCTAATTCAATCTCGTATTATAAACGTACAGTGACATAATTTGGAGCATTAACATCACCTGGATGGCCCTGTGACAACTGAGGCTGGGAGTCTCTGACCCCTGTTGTGGACTGCTGATACTTTTGTTTTTTTAAAATTATATAAAATATGTACGGCTATGATAGATTTATTTTTGTTTTTTGTTTTTTTTTGTTTTTACAATGTATTTTTTTAACAAACAAAACAAACAAAATAAATAAACAGCCCAACCGATGCCCGCAGCGTATAAAAATTTTAAAAAAATAAGAGGCTACATAATGCAGCGGAAAGGTTGGGTCCGTCTCGGTCTCTCCGACTCTCGGTCTCACAGTGTGATACTTGAGTCCTGCCCTGACTCCTGACTGACTCCTGAGACCCTGGCCGAGGGGCGAGTGTTGGGAGGCGACTCTGACAAGCGCCCGTCTCCCATTTCCCCCACTGACCCACTCTCTTCTTCTTCTCTCTTGTTGTGTGTGAACTGACGAACTCACTCACTATTTAATATTTACACACGAGTCCGGAGACCAGAACTCCAGAGTCCAGAGTCCAGACTGCTGAAGACAGTGCAGAGCAGAGTCCGACTCCCCAGACAATAGTATTTTCCGAATTCCATTTACCTCATAGTCCGACCAATCGACTATAGTCCATAATAGTCCATAGTCCATAGACTTTGTGAAAGTTCAATTTTTCAAAAATAAATACAAAACTAAAATTATTTATTTGTGAAATTCTAAATCTCAAATTGAATTTATCAGTATTTACATAGCCCTCTAAAATTAATAATGAATATTTCAATAAAATACAATTTTAAGGCAAGGCAAAGGCAGTAAAAAGTACACTCTCCTGGGCCTGGCTCTCCAGTCTCCAACTCTCCACTCTCCCTCTCTCTACTACTCTAGTCTTTAGTAGTCTCTGTAGATTGTAGAGCTAGAGTAGAGAGAGAATAGAGAGTATTAATATTTTAGGAATTGTCTGAAAGATGTCTCTTGTTTAACTCGTCCTGGGTAGTTTGTCTCTTTATGGTAATAATGAAATATTCACCTACTATTGAAGGAAATGAGAAATTAAAATATATTAATATTGAATTGTAAATTTTAGTTTTGTTCAATTATTATTCGTTGTTGTTACACACAGATTTTGACTTATATATTTCAATATATTTTTGAAACGGCTAAATATATATTTACTCTCTGGGGACTCGGGAGTCGGGAGTGTACAGTGGATTGCTTTTTTCTTTAAATATAAAATCCATAGCCTTCTGAATTGTAAACAACAAGAGAGAAGAAGGAGGCTATGAAAAAATTCCAGTGATCACTGATCTGTGAGACAGTGACTCAACGTCACTCCTGGACTCCTGTATCGATTCGTACATATGTAGTCGCTCGGTGATATTTAACTCACCAATGAGAACTCTTTTGTTTCACCTCAAACGACACAGGGCTCGGCTCAGAGCTTATTACGTTATGGGGAATGGAATAGAAGTTTACAGTAAACGTATATATATTCAATTTAACCGTTATAGCGGTTATAATGGGATCAGAAGAGCCTACCCGAGTTCTTTTGTCATAGGACTGGTTGGTATGGTCAAAACGGTACACACTAAAATGTTTAGACACGTAAGGTGCACCATAGTACCTATGAACAAACAAAGGACCGCATATAGAATAAAGTTGATCGTATACATTTATTTGATTCTTAAAGGTTTTAACGGAAAACAGTTTGAGGTTAGGTACAGAGTCCTAAGTCCAAGCTCTCGAGTCCAGTTTTGACTTTCTCCTACTCTTAAAAGTCTCTTTTGTACTACAGCGAGAGTAATTTTAAATTTTTGCCACAGGGTCTAATAGAGAGGGATATAAATTAGTTTTTTCATTAAAAATGGAAAACTGTAATCTCACTACCTCTCTGAAATGAGAAATTGTCGTTGGTTTTTGTTTTTACAAAAAGTATCGAAATAGATTCGTCCGCCAGGCACCAGGAGTCCAGGACATCATTTCTCAGTTTCTGAGACAATCCCTCAGAAACGAATCACGGAATTCGAAATTATAGCCTTGTATTGTGTAATGTGGACTTGTGAGTTGTGGACTTGTGTTGATTGGGCCATTTTGGACCCTTTTGGGCCCTGAACTTTTGAACCCACCAGAAGTACAGTCCCTTTGGGAGTTTGAGCCTTCGATCCTGACGCCTGACGGCTGACGGAATGACAGACTGACACTGATAGCAAACAAGAGAGTAAGAGCAAGATGAATAGATGATGGAGAGAAAGTTGTTATCATTTTAATTTATCTTTAGAAAACAACAAGACAAAAAAGGAAAATATTGTGTCCGCACATCGGGAATTCTGGGCTTGTTAAAATAAGTAGGGGTACCCAGTTCTTTCTGTATTTTTATTTTTTTTAAATGTAGAAGACTATGCTCAAAGCATTATTTTAATAACCAATCAACACAGTGAATGAAAAATCAAATAT